GCAGAGGAGGAGGAGGAGGCGCAGGAGGAGCAGCAGGAGGAGGAGGAGGAGGAGGAGGAGGAGGAGGAGGAGGAGGAGACTGGAGACTAGAGAGTGGAGGCTGCAGACTGGAGACTGCGCCTGTGTCGTCCCCTGGGGACGTCCCAGGGGGGCGGCTCCAGGTCGGCGGGAGGCCCGCCCAGGAGCCGCCAGAGCTGGCTCGGGCGTTGCCGGGGGTGTCTCTGGCCCCAGACCGGCCACAGGCAAGAGTCCCTCTGTCTCGAAAGGGGGGGGTACTTCCCTCACGTTTTCGGGCGCGATCCCAGACCCCCTGGCGCTGTGAGGAAAGGACAGCGGGACGTTTTGTTCGCCACTTCTTTGCCTCCAGGGTTACGTCGGGCCTGGCCCTCCACAGGAGAAATGTTCCAACATAGTTACAAAATACTGGGGGGGCGATTTCTCTACCATTTTGGAGTAAAGGGTCCAGACTTTCAGGCCGACGTTGTGACACAAATCACGATGTCGAGGGTCTGTGATCTATGACATTTGGGATTTAGACGGGCTTGTCCATTGGTCCCTCTCCAGGAGATATATTCAAAAACGAGTTGGATAACATAATATGGGGACGATGTTTCTATCATGTTCGACAATGTTTGAGCATTGCTGGATTCTTTTTTTATTTATCGTCCAAAATGCGCCTGTAGTGGGACATGCCCGACCTAAGTCTGGGATCCCCGAGATCCTGGCGTCTCAAATGTTTCGAACCAGGCGTTATCCGGGTCGAACAGTGGCGCAGAACGGCGGGGTCTAGGGCTCTGGGCGTGTTTTTGTTGTTGCTTACGAAGTTGCAATGTTGTCGCGCCGTCGGATCTGAGGGTTTTCGGTATCATTGAACCGACTCTCATCCCCATCCCCATCCCTGTCGGGTAGGGGCAGGGATTGGGGTATATCTTTCGAAGCCCGGAGGAAACGGCCCATCTCCCCATCTAGGGGTCGGCTGGTGGGGCCCAGGCAAAGCCCATGGGGAGGGGCTCAGTCAAACGATGCTCAGAGGTGCAGTCGAGGCCGATGCTGATTTGAAGGCCGTCCCAGCCAAATCTAGGGTACTGTTGTGTCCCGTGTCTCGCGGCCCAGGCCTGCCACATTCCTTTGGCAGTGTGGCCCCCGGCACAAGCCGCCTCGCGTGTCCTCTCCAATCGGCCTCGACTGCACCGACACCGCTGGCTGCCCTTCCTTTCGCTGTTGTCTCCGTGGGCCTCCTGGGAAAGTCCACGTCTCCGCGGCTGGCTTTCGGCACCACCCGGCCACGCCTGCGGTGGGGGCCCCAGCCTCGCTTCTTGAGTTTCGACGGCTTTGCTGTGGAAGGCGTGACGTTCCCGCGTCAGAAATCAGGGGACGCCCGGGGGCCTCAGGGTTCAGGAGGGAAACAAAAACACACAGACACAATGAATCGTCGATCCCCAAGAGCAGATGGGAAAATGTGGGAAGTGGGGTGGGGGGGCAGAAGAAAACCCAGAAAAGTGCAGAGAAGGATGGGGGATCCTGTGATTTGTGCCGATTTCTTTGTGTGTCCCAGGGCCCCTTCCAGGGGGGCCGGGCTTCCTGCGGAAGGCCTCCTGCGGATCGGCCTCCGCGCCCGTGCTAGAGAGATGTGCGCCGGGCCGCCCCCGGGGGGCGACGCGCGGGCGCAGGGCGCGCTGCAAGAATGGGCCTGTTGTCCATCACCACCACCAGACGTTGGAGAGGGCAAGGAGGAAGAATAGGAGGAGGAGGAGGAGGAGGAGGAGGAGGAGGAGGAGGAGGAGGAGAAGGAGGAGGAGGAGGAGGAGGGAGGAGGAGGAGGCGGAGGAGGAGGAGGAGGAGGAGGAGGAGGAGGACCCCCTCCCCCTCCAAGTTCTGGTGGTTGTGGTGGAAGACACGCCTATCAAGAGCGCTTCAAGTAACGTTCTCTGGCCGAGCCGCTCGGGCACGGCACAGCCTTCTGTGCTTCATTGGGCTAATTATAGATGTTCGATTCCGACGTACGCCTCCGAGGAGGGCGCATCGGACTAGTATTTTAAATCGGGCCTGCGCCTTTATAGCAGGAGTGTTCAAACATAGTCAAGACAAGAACCAGTCTGGGCACGGTTCTTCTATTATTTTTAGTTTTCTGGACATGTTTAACAATTTGTCATTTGTCCTCCAACATCCGCCTGTAGGCTAGGAGGACATGCCCGACCTAAGCATAGCACTAGTATGTATGTCCTTTTCTCTGTGAGCCCCGGAACGGCAGGACCGTTTTTTCACCGTCTCCGAAAAAGTGTTTCTTGAGAAACGAAAGCGGCAAAACAACGGCGGCCGGAGATGGGATTTAAACGGCTCCGACATTGGACTGGAGCCGGTAAAACAGCGGCGACGGAGCCGGTAAAAGAGCGGCGTCGGAACCGGCGAGAAAAGGGCAAAACGGAGCCGGCGAAAAACTGGCCTGGTCGTCTGCATTCCAGGCTTCGCCTCGAGATTCTGGTCAGAACGCACCCCTGGAGAGGAGCTGCGGTAGCGTTGTGGAAGTCGATTAATGGAGAGGAAGCGTGCTGCCAAATAATTTCTAGATGTCTAAAAATAGTTCAAACATGTTTTAACTATTGAAAACGTGTTTGAAACATGTTTAGAACATGTTTTACACATTTTAAGCACATGTTTTATTCAACGCTCGGATTGTTAGAGTGTCCATTGTCATGCCATCCACAACGGTAGCGGTAGCTTCCCTGGCTTCCCACAGGACTGCCCTCCGGGCTCAACGGGCCGTGCGGAGGCCTACGCGGAGGACGTGATGCCGGACGTGACGGGCTGCGTGCGCCTGTACGCCACGCACACGCCGTGCATCTCGTGCCTGGCGTGCATTCGGGGAGCAAACATGGCACAAGCCTAAAATTCTTCGCAGCTCCGCGCAGGTCTCTTCGATCGGCGCTGGAGCTCGCCGGCGGCGCCTCCGACGCCGACCCCTGCGCGCTCCGCGCGCCATGGAGGGGGGTCCAGCGCCGATCAGCGAAATCCGCGCGGACCTCCGAAAGTTTGCGTTTGTGTTGTCGTTCGTTCCTCTACGCGTGTGCCAGTTCAAGCGCCTGCTCCCGAACGTCAAGCTCGAGGTGGCCTTCGACGTGTGGCGCGAGACGCGCAGGTGGGTAGGCTCCGGGCCGCGCCCTCTGCCGGATGACCCCGACGATGATTAGCTATAGCATTCGAGGTGTTCCTCTTCTTCCTCATTCACCCCGTCTCCTTAAAGTTGACTCCTCCCTGTCGCAGCCCGAGACGTGTCGGTAGGGCGGGCCAGGCGCTTCTCTACAGCATTCCGCACCATCCAACATGTTGAAGTTTTAAGAAGGTCGCCTCAGCGCCGCGCACATTCGTGTCAAGGGTTTCACAGCAGTCTCGAATGTTCCCACAGCTTACGTCCCAGACATGGTGTTTTGCTACGATGTACGCCTGTCAGGGCCCAACGATCACACGTTGATTCGCGGTGTTGAAGTCTCAGGGTTTGTGTGTTGGCACGAATCAGGGTCGTCAGGGTGCAACAGCAACGCTGATCTCGCAACGTTGAAGTCCCAGGAATGGTGTTTTGGTACGGCTCAGGCTTTTCAGACGGGTGTCTTCCAACCAGGCCATTCCTACTGTCAAACTAATTCCTCGTCGATGTTCATGAGGAGGGATTGTAGAGGGAGTGTGTATTGCAACACCGTTGAGAAGTCTTGGGTTCAAACTGATCCTCCTCCTCCTGCTCCTCCACCTTTTCTTTCTCCTCCTGGCTCAAGCCGTTCTGGGCCAAGGTCTTGGCCCGCAGCGGGGGTATGTTTCCTAAGTTCCCTTTGCTTCGTATGGTTCGCCCGAGGCGTGAGGCTACCATCACGCGTTCGCTAATTAGTTGCTCATTATGGCATCTCTCTTGTGGGCGCCCCGTCGCAGTGATCAGGTCAAGAGCGGATGGGTGGTCAGAAGAAGTACCTCGTCTGCTCCAGGTGCCACTGTTGTGGTTGGGCCTGGAAGGCGTCTATTGCTCGCCATTGCATGCAATGTGGTAGCACATTCAAGTGTGAGCACGTCATGGCTGCAGATGGCAATGGCGCAGGACGTGACAACGGTCACACTTCGGCATCAGCTCACACGCCTAGTCTGCACGCTGGAGGGCGTCGCCCCGTGGGCCCAGCTGGCCCCCTGGCCTCGGCAAGCCAGGCGCGAGCGTCACTTCCGCAGCGGATGACCGACCTCCTCCCAGCAGCAGGACAGCGACCCATTGGTTTCGGCGCAGGCTGAGGTCACGTTTTGGACGAAGTGGAAGCCCAATGGAGAAGAGCACCAGGAGGCGCCGCTGTGCAAACTCAAGGAAGCCAAGGCCCGGGTGCTGCCCACGAAGTTCATCGAGCAGCAGGCGCAGTCGCCTTCAGAGCAGCTGGCAGTGCAGCGCCACAAGCTCATAGATCATAGAGCACAAGAAGGAAGCACCACCTTGGTAGACCGCATCGTCTAGTGCAGCGAGCGCCACGGCAAGCTGGTTGATGACATCCAGTCTGCGACCGCCGAGATGCAACAGATGGAGTCCCAGCTCAACTTGGCGACCCAGGCGCTGGCGCAAGATAAGTCCAAGGATGCCAACCTGCTTGAAACCTTGCGAGGCGAGCTGTCTGATCGCATGCCCCAAGGAGGCCAAGCGCCGTTTGAGCTACGTTCTAAGGTGCAGGAGCTGGTCAGCTTTTTCGACACCATGCAGCGCCGGCACGATATGGTCACAGCCCAGCAGGACGCCAAGAAGACACCGGTTGCCCAGGCACCTGCCGATGGAGTTGAAGCTGTTGAAGACCCGACCCCAGCAGTTGGCCAGCGACCTCATGAAGTTCTTCCACCGGAAGCTGCCGCACCCCTTACTGCCGCAGTGGCTTTTGATGCTGGGGCAACGCCTGCACCTCACAACGATGATCTGAATTCCATGGATACCGATCGCAGCCTGGTCCGTTCCGCCGCCGCCATCGAGACGGTGGCCAGCGGCATGACCAGGGTCACCAGCGCAGGGCAGCCAGAGGCCAAGAAGGCCGAGACTGCCGCCACCGCTGCGGCGAAGCAAGCGGCCCGACCGCGTGGGTAACATTCACGCAGTTGCCACGGTCAATGGATAGTCGGTGAAGTCTTTGTTCCAGTGTCGGCATGCCCACTCTCTCACCACTGTGTGTGCGCAGGAGTGTAGGCTCGCCGCTGGAGATAGTATCGCGCATCTAATACAGTGGTGTTCCGCCCAGGGGTGGTTAGCCACCATTTGTCGCCGACAACCCATATGAGGAGCTGGTCTCGGGAGTGGCGATTTTGGTTCTGCATACTTTGAATCTTGGAATCCAGCCCAGTGAGTCCCCTAGCGGAACGGGTTCCGCTCGCTTGCATGACTTGACCCTTGACGCTCGTAAGGTCCCCAAGCTTTCCCTGTGCGGCGCCTTCTTTGAATCTTTGTGACCTTCGCTGGTCTTTCTGATGCCCACTTAACTTTGCTCGTGCTGGTCGGTCAGCTGCAAGATACGACGGCCCAAGTTTTGCAATATTGGGTCCGGGGCCCTCTCGGGAAGGATTTTGGGGCTCTCCTGGAGCGCCTCGAAGGCTTCTTGGTCCATCGAGGACGTCTTGGACCGACCGTGCGGCGGTTCGAAGCCTTCTTGGACTGTCTGGGCGGCCTCTTGGGGCTCCCTGGGCCCGCCTTAGGGCCTTCTGGCGTCTCGTGCCCGAGCAGTTCGCGCGAGAGGATGCCCCCCTGGGCCCCAGGGGGCCACGCGGGGAGCCCCGGTGGCCACGCGAGGCGCCCCAACAGTTAGTTTTGGCAACTCTGTGCCCGGGCCCCCCCGACGAATTCTGCAGGCTGGAGGACGGAGGCCCATAGGCAACTGGGCGCAGGACCCGGGGGGCCACTCCGCGTCGTGCCACGGGTGCACGGCGGCGGATCTCCACCCCCGTGTCTTCCACCTCCCCGTCCATCCCTCCTCTTCTCCCCGTCCAGCCCTCCTCCCTGCAGCTGTCCTCCGGCCCGCTCCTCCACCCTCCTTCCCTTCTCCCCGCTCTTCCCCTTGCGCCCCCTCCCTCTCTCATTCGATCGGTGGCGAGCGCGCTCGTGCGTGCAGCCCTCAGAAGGCAGTTCGCACTTGACGCCCTGGGAGCCCCATTCTCCTGCCCCGCCCTCCCCACCTGCCCCTGCCCTGTCTCCCCCCCCCCTCGTTGATGTTGGAAGTATATTTGTATCATCCTCCTCCCCATCCTCCTCCTTTCACCCGCAGGCGTCACGATTGTAGGGATGCTGACGCACGATCCCCCTGACGCCAGTACCTTTACTTGTGCCTCCTCCTCTTCCTCCTCCTCCTCCTCCTTCCTCCTCTTCGATTTCCTGTTCCTCCATAATCCAACACCTTCTATGGCATGACAGCGACAGGATGATTTTGCCGTGGCTGCTGGTAGCAGCGTGAAGCGCAATCAAAACCTTGATACGCCCCCTGGCCAGCGGAGCTTGGGCGCGAGGTTGGCCAAACGCCACGTAGCGGCTGCAAAGGGCCGGCGGGCTTCATCCGTCTTTCTGTCCCCGTCGCTCTTTGCCCTCCCCCCTCTCTATTCCCGCGTTCCCCGCTACCTCCCTCCATCGAAGAGGACGGGGGGGGGAGGGGGAGGGGGAGGAGGACAGGTCGAGGACGTCCGCGAAGACGGCGACGACCACGATCGCGTTCACGAAGACGACGCAGGCGAGGACGATCGCGACGACGACGACGACGACGACGACTACCACGACCACGACCGCGACCACGACCACGACCAGCACGACCACCAGCACGACCGCCACGACGGCGACGACCACGACCACGACAATCACGACCACAGCGGCGACCACGACCACTGCGGCGACGACGGTGGTGACGACGACGACGACGACGACCACGACGACGACGACGACGACGACGACGACGACGACGACGACGACGACGACGACGACGACGACCACGGCGACGACGACGACGACGACGACGACGACGACGACGACGCCTGGCGCATCGCGCCCGCGGCGGCGGCCCGCCAGGAGGACGCCGGCGCCCTCAAGAGGCACCCAGCGGGCGAGGTGTTCCTGGCGCCTGCCCCGCTGCCGCTCGACGAGGACGCGCCGGTTGGCGCCGCGCGGGGTGGCGGAGGAGGAGGAGGAAGAGGAGGAAGAGAAGAAGGAGGAGGAGGAGGAGGAGGAGGAGGAGGAAGAGGACGAGGAGGAGGAGGGAGGAGGAGGACGAGGAAGAGGGGAGGAGGAGGAGAGTAAGAAGGAAAGGAAGGAGGAAGGAGAAAGGAGGAAAGGAAGGAGAAAGGAGGAAGGAGGAGGAAGGGAGAGGAGAGATGGAGGGAAGAGGGAGGAGGGGAGGAAGGGAGAAGGGGGCGATTGGAGGGAAGGGAGGATGGAGGCGGAGGAGGAGGGGAGTGAGGGGGCGGAGGAAAGGGGAGGAGGCCAAGAGCGCCGCCTCTGGCGCCTCGCGGCGGCCCGCGCCGCCTCGGCCCGCCGCCGCCCGCCTCCGCCGCGGCCGCCGCCGCTCGGCGGGCCGCCGCCGCCGCCTCGCCGCCGCCCGCCGCCGCCCCTCGGCCGCCGCGGCGCGGCCCCCACCGCGACTTGGCGGGTCTGGGTCGCGGAGGCAGCGCCCGAGCCTCGGGCCGCCCTCGGGCCCGCGGCCGCCCTGCGGGGGCGCCGCCCGCCCCCTCGCGGCCTCGGCCGCCCCCGCCGCAGGCCGGCGCGCGCCCCGCGGGGCCCGCGCGAGGGGCCCCCCGCGCGGGCGCCGCAGGGGCGCGAGGCGCGGGGGAGGCGTGCAGGCCACGCAGCTTTCCTCTTCGGGCCCCAGACATGATCGCGTCGTCAAAAAATCAGGGCGGGAGGTTTTTGGCTATTTTCGGGCCGGGGGGCCCTCGCCGGGCCTCGGGACCGTCGAAAAACGACTCAGGACGAAAAACTGGTCCCGGGGAAAGGGTCGGGACTTCCGGGGGCGCCGTCCTGAAAAATCAATGACGGAATTGCCATCACCCGAAAAAGCACTGTGTGAGTAGTCCCTGGTGTAGTGAGTCTGGCCAATTTAGGGGCTCCGGGGCCCTACTGCTAACCGGGTCCCCTTATTTGGGGTCCTGCTATACCCCAGGGCGGGTGGGGCTCACTAGACCAGGTCCCACTAAAGCCAGTTCTGCCAACGCCCGATTGTTGGGTCGCGACAGAGTCGCGGCGGGGAGTTTTTCGCTATTGCTTCGGCCTCTTGGGGCCGTTCCAGAAGCGGCTGTCAGGATGAGAAGCCGGTCCCGGGGAATGGGTCGGCTCCTCCTCCTCCTCCTCCTCCTCCTCCTCCTCCTCCTCCTCCTCCACCTCCTCCTCCCCCCCTTTCCTCCCCCTCCCCCTCCCCCCTCCCCTCCCTCCTCCCCCTCCCCCTCCCCCTCCCCCCTCCCCCCTCCTCCTCCTCCTCCTCCTCCTCCTCCTCCTCCTCCTCCTCTCCTCCCTCCTCCTCCTCCTCTCTCCTCGTCCTCCCCTCCTCCTCCTCCTCCTCCTCCTGCTCCTCCTCCCCCCCTGCCTCCTCCTCCTCCTCCTCCCTCTCCCCCCCCCCTCCTCCTTCCCTGCTCCTCCTCCTCCTCCTCCTCCTCCTCCTCCTCCTTCTCCTCCTCCTCCTCCTCCTCCTCCTCCTCGCCCTCCCTCCTCTAATTACCCTTCCTTCTCCTCTCCCTCCTTTAGCCGATCCTGGGCCACGGGCCCAGACCCCAGACGTCATGATGTTGTTCCTGAAGTCGACCCCCAGAACCAAGCAGTGGCGAAGCGCCCTGGCCCGCCCATAGGCCCACGAAAGAATGCTCTAAGAACCTCTTGTTGTATCGGCGAAATGTTATTGAATCGCTTCGCTCATTCCGCCGGCCCGTGGGGGCCTCTTGGGGGCCTCTTAGGGCCTCCAAGAGGCCTCTTGGGGGCCTCTTAGAGCCCCTTGGGGGCCTCTTGGGGGCGTCTTGGGAGCCACCTTCTGCTGCCTCCACGAAATATTATTTTAACATTTCTGGCCGGGATGGTCTAGTGTTAGCACATCGGGCTTAAATTCTAAGAACGTTGTTCTGCTTTTGTTCTTGGAACATTTGGGAGTTCTAAGAACATTTGTGGTAGGCCTACAGGAATGCGGGGACGGTCGGTCCCTGCTCAACCAGAAGTCTCGACCCGTTCCCCAGGACCGGCGGTTCATCCTGGCCGTTTGGTTGATGCTCCCGAGGCCCGGTAAGGGCCACCCGGGGCCAGAAGTATGGACAAGCCTCCCGTCGCGATTTGCTCACAGCGCCAGGTGATCCGGGACGCGGGCGCCCGGGCCGATCCTCCCGCCGCGGAGCTCAGGTCTCGCTGCAGAGATCGCGGCCCCGGAGCGAAGGGCTCGTAGGCGTGCTCGGGCGGAGCCTGGGCGGCGAGGCCCCGGGAGGCGCCCAGAGAGACTACAGCGCTGCCTCCGGGAGGCCGCCCATAGGGGCTTCCCCGGAGACCCGAAGATTCACTCGAGAGGTCTCAGATTTCCTCGCGTCGTGATGACATCGCGACGGGAGGTTTTTCTGTGGTTTCGGCCTCTGGGGGCCTTTCCTGGGCCCCGGGGCCGTCAACAAAACCAACTCAGGAAGAGAAACCGGTCCTGGGGAAGGGGCCCAGACCTCCGGGGGTCGGCGCTGCGAAAGAATCACGACGTCGGGGGTGGGGGACCCAGGCGCGGTGGCAGGCTGGGCAGAAGGCCGCTAGGAGTGGCAGGCGTGGACGAGGGGCACGGTGGCCCCTCCTCTCTTCGCGTCCTCCTCCTGCTCTTCGTCTTCAGAGTCTGTGCTTCTCCTTCTGCTCCTGTCCTCCGTCCCGTTCTGCCCTCGTCACCGTCGCCGTCGTGCTCCCTGATCCTGGACTCTTCTCTCATCTCTCGACCTCCAAACCTGCCCCCCTCGACCTCTTCGTCGTCCTCCTGTAGACTTCCGTGCTCAGGGAAGGGCTTTGTACTACGTGTTCCCGTAGCGTCGTCCGACTAAAGTCGCATCCGAAATCGCCGACCAACCCTCGACATCTCACTGCGAGTTGGGACTCCAGATGAGGTAACTGGGCCCTGGTGCGGGTCCGGCCGGCTCGTCGACGCCCGTCACCGCCCGTCGACGCCGTGTGCTCTAAGGTTTTTGGGCCCCGGCGCTGGTCCGACCAGATCGTCGCCGTCCGTCGCCGCCGTCGCCGCTGGTCCCCCAGTGGCGGTCCAGCCAGTTCGTCGCCGCCCGTCGCCGCGTTGTTTTGCGTTTCTTTGCGTCGCTTTCCATTTCTTTGCATTGGTCTGCATTGATTTGCATGGTTTTGCATCGCGATGTGTCGCATGGGTTCGCATTGGTTTCCTTTGGCATTGCGCCACAGGTTGCACCACGTGAGCTGCACCACGTAGGTTGCACCACATCGGTTGCACCACGTAGATTGCACCACGTAGATTGCACCATATGCAAAGCGAGGAATCACGGCTTGGGGCCCACGCTGGCTGACATGTACATATATATGTATGTATACACACACGCGCATTTCCAATTTCGTTGCTCCCCTCTTTTTCCCTCCCTCCCTCTTTTTCCCTCCCTCCCTCTCGTTCTGTCTCGTGGTTTATGTTGTTCCTCTCTCTCTCTCGCGCGCGCTCTCCTCGCGCTTCCTGCCTTCAGGAGGAGCTCGCGCAGATGATGCCGCGGCGCGACCAAGTTGCCCAGTCCCTCGCCCGCCAGGGTGGAGCGGTGGAGGGGGAGGGGCCCCACGGGGAGGTGGAAGACGGAAAGGGGGAGAAGTAGGGTGGGTAATGCGCAGGAGGGGGGTGGGGAGGAGGGGTGGGGAGGAGGCGGGGCAGAATGCGGAGGAGGAGGAGGTGTTGTCTGCTGCTCACGGACTGCGGGTACCGTTCGCATTCCCCTCGAAGCTGCCACGCTCTGCATCATGCCTTCCTTCTGCCTAGCTGTGACCACGAGGTGGAGAGGACTATTGGCGAGATCAGGCGGACAGACGTCCCCACCCCTGCTTCGGCCGAGCCTCGGGGAAATCCTCTTTGAACTTATCAGCCCCCCCCCACTGCTTGGGCTGGGCGCTCCGCGGAGACATGCATTCACTTTGTGGTTTCGACACGCACCCACGCCCAACGCAGGATATCACCTCCTCCTCCTCCTCCTCCTCCTCCTCCTCCTCCTCCTCCTCCTCCTCCTCCTCCTCCTCCTCCTCCTCCTCCTCCTCCTCCTCCCCCTCCCCCTCCCCCTCCCCCTTCTCCTCCTCCTCCTCTTCCTCCGCCTCCTCCTCTTCCTCCTCATGGCCCACTTCGATTATTTGTTTGAGCCCCGCCACACTTTCACGTCGCAGCGCGGCCGAGGCGAGCCGCTCGCGCGCTCAAGTAGCCGGGGACGCGCGGCGGACGCATCAACCGGCAGCAAGAGAGTGTGAGGAAGAGAGCGGCCGCAGACAGCAGGCGGGGGAGGGGGGCAGCCACCGCGAAAAGAGTTTCAGGGCGAGTGGCCGGTGCGGCCAACCTGTGCTGGGGCGACCTGGCAGTGGACACGGAGCGGCGTCACGACCACACCCAGGGGCTGGATCCAAGGCTGCAGGCGCTGAAAGCGTGGAGCAAGGCGAGCCAGTGCCTCAGGCGGAGCGTCACGCGGGCCGCTCCGCGGCAGGAGTGGGACGTCCAGCTGTCCGTCGCGAGGCCGTCCGCGTCGGACGTTGCTGCAGAGATGCGGGGCCAACAGGGTGCACGCGCGGATTGAGCGTCCGTGGCGGGAGGCGGGGCTGTGAAGCGCGTTCTGCAGCAGAGCGTTGCAACGCTGAGCCCACCGAGCTGCTTTAGCTGCTGAGCCCCCGCTGGCCCCACCACGCGAGCAATTCCGGGGAGCCGCCTGCCGCGGCCACTGTCGACAACAGGCCCACCCTGCCACGCCTGCCAGGTCAGCAAGTTTGAGGAATCCACGACGGCTGGGCTCACGTGGTCGACGTCATTCGCGGTCGTCCACGTCTCCGCTGCTGCTGCCGCAGGGGTGTATTCTGGCAGTGCTGCACAGAGGCGCTGGGGCTTACGCAGGGAAAACATGCACGCATGCAGTCGGGGCGCTGAAGAAGGATCCCTTTTCGCTGGGAAGGGGCTCGGTGCTTCCTGAAGTTTTCGATGGGAAGTCGAAGTTGAAGGCTTGGAAAAAAAAAGGGGCCTCGTTCTTTATCCTTATTTAGGGTTCCTTAGGTCAACGCCTCGACTGTTACGCCTGGTGCACGCAGGCAGTACGGCGTGCAGAGGCGCTGTGGTGCGCACAGGGCGCGGCGGCGCACACCTGCTGCAGCGGATGTGGCGTGCGCGAGTATCCCAGGCACAGTGGTGCCCATTGTTTCCAGGGTGGCACGTGCCGCCCGCTGTCCTGCAATGTGTGTCCCCGCATGGACGCTCACTATACAAGTGGGACAGTTGTTTTTTCCCGCACTGTGCTCAATGCTTGTTATGTTGTCCAGGTGTCTCTGCTTGTTCGGCTTGTCCAGCTTTTGCAGTTTCCTGGGCATCCCGCTCTGGCAGTTTTCATTCGCTTTGCGAGCAGCGGAAAGTATGCGCTAGCGAAAAACTGGAATTGCAATGAAAACGAGGAAAGCGGGAACAGCGGTGGAGATACGGCTGAAATTTGATCATCGAAGAACGCATATTAAGGAACAGGATGGGAATTACTTCTCAAGTAGGGGTGCATCAACGCAGACCCCGGTCTTTTCAGGGAAGATGGAACGGCGATGTTGATTTCACTACTCCATCTGAAGGGGAATGCTTGGACACGTCTCCCAGTTCTCTGTGGGGGGATGGTACGGTCGATTCGTGCCGTGTCGACCGGCGGCGACCCGCCGCCAGCGTTCAGCGTTGAACGCCGTTGCCGACCCAGAACCCGTCGATGTTGAACGACTTGACGTTTCGGAAAGGGCCGATCTTTCGAGGTCGAAAGATCCCCGCGGTGTCAGGAACCAACGCTGGTTTCACACGACACGAACCCGCGGTACCTCGAGGAAGATCGGTTACACCTAAGAGCGATCCTTCGCTGGAGTGACCTTTGGTTCGGGCACACTTCGGCCCCCAAAGATGGCTGGATGCGATGAGGTAGCAGCGGCTTGCGCGCTCGGGTTTGCCACCCGCGCCCCCCGCCCCAAAGCCGCGCACCAAAGGGCACTCCTTGCCCAGAGGTCAAACTTACAGTCGAAGCCGATGGTAAGGATGTGTGGCGCGCCCGTTGGGAACTGAGAAGGAGAAGGCCTTCTCAGAAGGCTCGGAAGTCCTCGGGCCTTCTGAGAAGTTTCCTTAGCCTTCCCCGAAGACACAAACAAGTTTTCAGAAGGCCCGAGGCCTTCTGAGAAGTCTTGGCGCCTTTGAGAAGGCCTTTTCCTCCTCAATTCGCCCCCTCGCTCGCCGCCGCAAGGATTGGTACCTGTGCATTCGTGGCTCTTCCGTCCATACTTCACTACTTTCCACGGCCCGCCGCGCTCGAAGACGCTTCAGCACTGTTGCCCAGAGGGGCGTGCATTCTTATCGGCCATCCCGACAATTAGTTTCGACTGTACGTGCAGCCGAGAGGCGGCCACGCGCAGACGGGGGCGAGGCGAGGGGGGAAAATGATTCTCAGGAGCGCCCCTGCCTCTCAGAAGCGGCGGGCGTTGTCCGCAGATGTAAGGCCCGCGCCTCCTGAGAGGCGCCCCTCCTTCTAACATGAGAGGCTTTCCCGCCTCCCCCCCCTGCCCCCTGCACGTGCGGCCGAGTGGCGCGAGGAGCTGGGGAGACCTCGGGCCAGGACCGCTCCTGGCAGTCCCCGAGCGTGGCCTCCGGCCTTTCAAGAGCTCGTCCCCCCGGCGGTCGTCGGTCGTCCTCGCCCCTGCTGCTCCCCCGCCGCCCCGCCCCTCCCCCCGCGCCCCCCCCTTGAGCGCGCCGCCAAGAGAAGGGCGGCGAGGGCCCGTGGCCACCTGGCCCAAGCCGCCCTCGAGGCCTCGGGTCTGCGGGGCACCCTCTCGGCGGCACCCTAACGGGGACTCACTCCCGGGTTTTTGTTTTTGGGGCATTGGCCGGACGTTGCCGCGGTTGGGCCTCAGCCTTGCCCACACATCGGGGAGGGTTGGCTTCGCAGGGTCGTCGGCCAAAGTGCCCGTCGGTGGAGTCCCCACTCGAGGGGCGCTGACCCTTGCCGCCGGCCCGGCGCGCGGGGCCGAGGCTGGTCGGCAATGGAGAGGAGGCTCCACCTGCGCCGGCTGCTGGAGGAGGAGACCTCCCTCCCCCCTCCTCCTTCCTTCCTTCCTTCCTCCTCCTCCTCCTCCTCCTTCCTTCCTCCTCCTCCTCCTCCCTCCTCCTCCTCCTCCTCCTCCTCCTCCTCCTCCTCCTCCTCCTCCTCCTCCTCCTCCTATCCTCCTCCTCCTCCTCCTCCTCCTCCTCCTCCTCCCTCCTCCTCCTCCTCCTCCCTCCTCCTGCAAGCACAAGCGTTCGCCGCCAGGCTCGCATGTTCGCCTGTTGTCAGAAGCCCACGCCCGAGGGCTTCGCATGCCGCCCCGCCGGGGGGGACTCCATCGATCCATCTTCCTCGTGAGAGCACAAGCGGCCGGTGGTGCCTCCATGGCCATTTGGCATTTTGGTTTCTGCATTGCCTCGCCGTCGTGTCCCAGCGCCTTGTCGCGGCGTGCTTGCAACTACTGTAGTTGGCGGCTCCGGCATCCTACTCAAGCCGGTCAAGATTCGGACGAGCGGTTCGCTAAAAGTCTGCGTCAGGCGGTTCTTCCTCAGCAGCTGGTGTGGGCTGGGCCTTGGTTCTTTCCTGCGTTCCGAGGGCGGCGTCCGTCCCAAGCGGAGGTCTTTGCGGGCCGTGCGCAACTAAACCCTCCGTACTCGGGCGTACCAATTGGATGTGGTCGTCGATGCAATGTGTTTGGCCACTTCGTTCGTTGTTCAAATTTATGTAAAGCTGGCCTTTCGCTTTCGCTCGGCGTGGCACTTGTGGCGGGGCACCACGACTACTGGGTTGTATGCGGCCTGCATTCTCCACGGTCAGCTCCGTGCGCGGTGATAGTGATTCCTGTAAGTACTTTTGTGTTCCAACGTGCGCTATGCCATTCATGATGTGTTGTCTGTTTGCTCGTCGCACATGGTGTTGATGCGGAATTTGTGTTGTTTTCTCCCGCCGTCCATGGAGCCATTCTTCACATGAGTCGGCGTTGTCTGATCATTGGCTTGTGTTTCAATGTTTTTGGGCCAGCTGTATGGGACTCCAGGTAAGTGTTGCTTTGGTCGAGGAAGCAGAAACTACCCAGGCGAAGGACCAAACCATATGCACTTCTGGGTACCGCAATTGTGAATTTCTTTGGTGGAGCTCCCTATGAGGCCATGAAGCGCTGCACTGGGTGGGGGGAACGCATCAGGGTGGTAGCGCTGGGGCCGTCGGTGGAGCTCCCTATGGGGCCACGAAGCGCTGTACTGGGCTGGAGGGGACGCGTGCGGGCGGTAGAACTGGGGCCTTCGGTGGAGCGTACTGGGCGGGGGGGGACGCATGCGGACGGTAGCGTTCGTGTGGCTGTCGGTTGAGTTCGTTACGGGGCCACGAAACGCTGTACTGGGTGGGGCCACGAATCGCTGCACTGGGCGGGGGAGACGCACGTGGGCGGTAGCATTGGGGCCGTCGCTGCACGGCGGGCTGGGTCTGAAATCAAAATTGAACATCTCCATTGGTTTCGTTTCTGCTCATAACGAATTTTTGTGCAGATCGTGCTTGCAGTTTTGTGTTTGGCCTCCATAGATTTCGAAACTCGCCTTTACCAGTGTTTCCTGCTCTTGCCTTGGTTGTTTTCAATTTCATGTTTGTCGAGATGTATCGCCCCCGACGCCCTTCCGTGCCTCCCTACATATCCCTTTCCCGCTCTCACCCATACACTGTACTGAAGCCTTTTTGGCGCTGAGGATTTGAGAGCGAAAAGGATCGGCATCGTTTATTGCTGTCAAGATGGCAGCGGAGCGCGGGTGACACTGACCCGCAGATCCACGGAGCCCAGCTTGCCTGCCTGCGAGGCAGCTGAACGGCCGCGATGAGCGTGGAGGCTCTCGCGCAGGAGTTGTTGGAGACGAAGCGCGAGCTGGGCCGACTGATGGAGACGGTCGAGAACCAGAACCAGACGATCACAGGGCTCCAGACGGAGCGAGCCGACGCAGAGGCAGCGAATCGGCAGCAGTCGACGAAGGCGTTCGCCAACGCGATCATAGGAGACAAGGGCAAGCCGCCGACCTTCGACAACATGAAGAAGCCAGACTTCCACGACTGGGCATTCAAGTTCAAGGCGTACATCGGCAATCAGAGTCGGAAGTGCTTGGAGGGAATGAGCCAGGTTGAGTACAGCCAGAACCAGCTGAACTACGCCAACTACGACGACGAGCGGAGACAGATGGCGCAGTCGTTGTTCTACCAGCTCACGATGTATACGGAGGGCACCCCGCTCGGCATCATCCGCAAGGTCAGCAACCAAGACGGATTCGAGGCGTACCGCAGGTTGAGCTCCCAGTATGACCCTCAGAACATGGGCAGCATCCTGTCGAGACTGATGAGGGTGCTGGAGTTCGACTTCGGCGGAGAGGCGGAGTTCCTCGATAACATGGCGAAGTTCGAGATCTCGATCGCGGAGTATGAGAAGCTGGCGAGCGAGGCACTCAGCGCCAACATCCGCTCGGCGGTCTTGATCGCGCGAGCCCCTGAGGCCTTGAGGAACCACGTGCTGCTGGGAACACCCAAGGAGGAGATCCAGTGGGCGAGGATCAAGAAGGTGGCCGCCGACTTCCTGCTCACGAAGCAGTCCATGCCTGGTGGCCCTGCGCCGATGGACATCGGCGCCATCAACAGCAAGGGCGGAAGAGGACACGGCAGGGCCAAAGGCAAAGGCAAGGGCAAAGGCAACGCCACCAGAGGTAAGGGCAAGGACAGGAGCAGCGGCGGTGGCATCGCCGGCGGAGAGAAGAAGTTCCAGGGACACTGCGGACGATGCGGCAAGTGGGGGCGCAAACAGAAGGACTGCTACGCCAAGATCCACAACGTGAGCACCTGGGACGGCAGCGCCTGGGACGGCAACACCTGGGGCGAGAAGTGGGGGAGCTGTGACACCACCAACGAGAAGGAGAAGGGTGCGGCTTCCTCCCACGAGGACGCCAGCGCCTCCATCAGTGCCAGCGCCCTCCAGTGCTCCGAGTGCGAGGACGCTGCGTGGATCTTCGCCGTCGGCGCGCTTGAGGGCCCGAGCGGAACATGAGTTGGCCAGACGGTTGATATCATGGTGGACACTGGCGCCAACAAGTCGGCGTGCGGGCCCAGCGACTTCCCCGACCTACCCCACCATGCAGGACACGAGGCTGGATATCAAGGTCGCCAACGGGACCTCCTTGAAGCACTTCGGCGACAAGCAGGTGAACTTGAAGACACAGAACGACGACGAGATCTGTGCGAGATTCCACGTCACGGAGGTGACGCAACCGGTCTTGAGCGTCAACAGCATCAACAAGGCAGGAGCTGGGGTGGAGTTCCCACCGTCAGACTCGACGGGCCCACCCTCGATCACGCGGGATTCGAGGAGCGGGCGATCGCGGCTTGGGCTGAAGAGGAGGCTCGGCCTGTTCTTCCTGCGCGCGACGGTGATGAGCTACGTCGGCACCAAGATCGGCGCGGACGGCCTGGTCGTCAACAACACGGCGACGGGCGCCCCCGAGGAGTACATCGCTGCGCAGGTGGACCAGCCGATGGGGCAAGAGGTCAGGCCCGAGGCTACGGTGATGACAGCGCCAAGGGAGCCGACGCGAGCCGAGAGGGAGGCTCACGAGGCCCTCCACTGTCCATACGCAGCGTGGTGCGCGGACTGTGTAGGGGGGCGAGGCCTGGACGACAGGCATGAGAGGATCAAAGAGGTAGAGGGTGTGCCTGTGATCCAGATCGACTACATGTTCGGCCAGACGCATCGTGACGAGAGAGTGCACCCAGTCATGAATGCTACCGACAACGTATACCACTCTACGGCCTCGGCATGGTGCGAGGCAAAGGGTGGGGGAGACCTGTTTCTCCTGAAGTGTCTCAAGCGGTACGTGGAGAAGCTCGGGTTTGAGAAGGTTATCATCCAGTGCGACCCCGAGGAAGCGGCCAAGGACGCGGCGGCCAAGGTCGCGAGGGACATCGGGAACAACGCGACCTCCATGTACACACCGAAGACGAGCAAGGGGAGCAACGGCATGGTGGAGAGGTTCCACTCGTTCATCGAGGGTATGACGAGGACCTGGAGGAGAGCCATCGGGGCGAAGTACGGTATCGTGATCGAGTTGAGGCATCCCCTGATGGCCTGGATCGTGCGCCACGCATCGTGGACCCACGATCGCTTCCTCGTCCACCGCTCCGACTACAAGACGTCCTACGAGCGCCAGCATGAGAGGCACTACGCCAAGAACGTCCTTCCACTCGGCGAGACGGTTATGTGGAGGCAGCCTGGGCCCATCGCCGCCAAGTTCGAGTCCGCGTGGGGCTACGGCATCTACCTCGGGCGGTCGTTGGAGGACGACTCCCGCATCTGCGGCACCAGGCGCGGCATCGCCGTGGCGAGGTCCATGCGGAGGCTCGTGGAGAGCGAGCGCTACGACAAGCAGCTGCTCCTGGCCATGAAGGGCATCCCGAGCGACACGAAGGCGCCGAATGCACCTACGCCAGTAGCAGACAGACCATCCCCCGACCTCAACCTCCCGCAGCCCGCCAGGCTTCCGCGACCTGCGGACGCCGCGCCCGAGGAGGGGCAGGCGGGCCCCCAGGAGGGGGAGGTGGGGTTCGAGGGGCCGTAGGAGGGGGGGCCAGGAGGTGCCGAGGCAGCCGCTGGCGGCGACGAGGCCATGGACGACGTCGAGGACGCGCCACAGCCCGTCACGAAGAGGCCGAGGGGCCGACCAGCTACACGAGTGTTTCCAGACCCGATGTCAAGAGAGTTTACCCCAGGCTGTAGTGGATGCTTGGGCACATCGTACCGTCATTCAAACTTCTGTCTCGAGAGGAGGGGGTTGCCTCCTAACGAGCCGCGTAGCAAGCGGGCCGCGGCGGAGAGCGCAGCTGCACCTGAGGTGAAGCGTGCAGCAGTCGAGGCGCCTGAGAGCTCGGCTGGCAAGCGGGCCAGCGATGAGGCGCCTGCGGAAGGCGAGGCGCACAAGGAGAGGAGAATTGGCACGGTGAAGGTTGGCAGCGTGTCCGTCGCCAACTTGATGGGCTACCCCGAC